ATATGCCAAGGCTGTGTTGAGTTTTGCCTTTGCATTTGCTTAAATGACAGAAAGGAAGCCCCTCTTCCCGCAGCTGGCACAAAAACGTAAGCCCATAAAGTTTGGTGACAAGGACGACTTACAGAGCCCAGCACAACAGTCAGTAAAGAATCACAACATGCTTTCCATAATCAAACTTATTTCTCCACTTGGCCATTCCTCAACGCACTGTGATTGCATCATAGTCAATGGATTTTTTCATCTTGGTGGAGGGTTTGATATGATTTCAGCATGACATCAAGCCAATTTGCAACCATGTTACCAAAGATTTGTTTTTGAATTGCAGAGGATGTCAACTGAATGTAGGAAAAAGTTCACCAAAATCAGGCTAAACCTTTGCACAACTTACAACTAACACACAACAGGTATCTGCTCAGGATATGAACAAGTTCAGAGAAAGAACTTGCATGCAAGTGCCATGAAAACATCCCTGGTGTACTATTCCCATTTATTTATAGAAACTTCTTTAAGAATCAAGATGGCTTTCTGAATTGGCTGACACACAAGATGTTATTCAAAAATTTGTTATCAGTGCTCCGGTTCAAGAAAAGACTTTCACTTGAAATTCTAAGCTCTTGTCTGAAAGGAATTTCCAGAAAAAGTTTTAACCAGCTAGTTTGAGGTTTCATTGGACTAGCATTTCCAATGAGATTATCCAGGAATAACCCCCTTGAAGAAAATGTTTAATTCCCAATCCCTCAACATGAGGGGGAAACTTAGTGTCACTTACTGGAGAAAAACATCATAAATTCAGTGGGCCCTTTTTAAGTTTACTGACACTCTTTGAGAAATAAATCTAGATTTCCTGCAGTGCTGGGTGCCATAAGTATTAAACCTATGAATTCTCATTATCATTAAAGACAAAAAGCCAGACTAGAAATAGAGAAAATTTAGATTGTAAACAGAGATGAGATGAAGACAAAATAACAATCAGGAATTAGGGGAATTACTGTAACTGAGATGCCACAGTGTCAAAATTTCAACAATAAGCTCATTGGACTCCATGTGTGTGAGCACACTTGATGCCAGGAAAGGTATTCCTCTAGCTACAAGTGCCACAAAAATTCCGTAAAAATG